TCTTTTGAGAGGAGAATTTGGTCTGCCTACATTTTAAGTAATTATTGATTGTATAGTCTATCGCTATTTTGACCAGATTTTAGTGTGTGTGATTTTGCCTTTTCTTTTTTATTTTCCTTTCTTTCCTTTTCCATTCTTTTCTTTTCTTTTTTCTTTTCTTTTCTTTTAATTTGGTAATTAGGACTAAAGAGTTAGTGTAGTGGGCAAGGCATTTGCCTTGTATGCAGCCAACCTGCATATACCAGCAGCTGATACCCAGCACCCCAGATGGTCACCTGAAGAATGCCAGAGTAATTCCTGAGCACCTTCAGGAGTAATCCTTGAGCATTTCGAAATGTGGCCCACAAACAAACAAAATTGATGGTTAGGTGTCAGCTTTTCTTAAAATTGGGTATCAGCCAGGGGCTCTACTTAGTTCTTAGAGGTCCCTGAAGTTCCATGCCCTGCGATTCTCTCCCATGTGACAGTTTCACCCCACTGTAGCTTACTTTTCAAAGCCAGTAGGAGAATCTCTCTGACTTCTATTGCCCTTTATTAAATGGCTCATCTGAGTAGGGTCAAGCCCATTCAGGATAATAACCCTCCATTTAATTCAAAGTCACCTGAGTTAGGGACTTTAATTATATCTGCAAAAGTCCCTTCACCTTTCACTATAACAACCTAATGACAAGAATAACATTCCAAAGAACCTCTCATGTGCAAGGGAAGGGGGTTATAATAGCTCTGCATCCCAGGAGCTGGAAAACATGAGGCCACCTTAGAAATCTGTCAGTAATATGAATGAAGACTCTAGTAGAATCTTTGTGAGTAACTATAGTTGGCCTGTGCTTCTAAGGCTCTCATTTTGGATTTCTCATACCATCACTGGATAATGAGAACTCTGTGTTTGATTGCTTTTGTCTGCTGAGCATTGGAATAACAGGTAGCTTAGGAACATGGCAAAGAAGAGAAAGATAGAACTGGAAGGTGAGAAGATCAATCACAAGACAAATGCTTCTTGAAATACTTCTATTTTGTTTTCCACCATTGGGTTTTACGTATTCATTCGAGCCACAACCAGCAGTGCTTGTGGGTTGCTTCCAGTGGTACTTGGAGGACCTTGCAGTTCTGGGGATCAAACTTGGAGGTCCTACATGCAAAGCATGCCCTCCAGCCTTTTAAGCCATCTCTATGGTACCAGCACTGGATTTTTAATAGAATTTTTTAGGAAGAAATATTCCATAGAAACAAGACTGTGCAAAATTTCAGCTCATTCTGTAAAATTCTTTATTTTTAGATATTAAAAATAGCTTTGAAGTAATATTTCGTTGGCTCCATTTATTTATAATCTTTTTAGAATTGAAGAAATTTTTTAGTCTGATATTTCTAAAAAAGAGATGGAGATTGAAATTTTGATTAATTAAAGAGAGCCAGTCAGTCATTAGTCTCCATATCGTGAGCGTGTAACAGTATGCACAGCTAATTGGTAAAAGAAATTTTAACAAGGAGTTTATTTTTAAAGTAACTTACAGAGACCAAATTTGGTTTCAAAAGTAAGGCCAAGATTAATGTTCCCTTGCTTTTAACATAAAGCAGTTCACCAGCATTTTGAAATTCATCTGGTCAATTAAGTGTACGTAGCAAATTAACCAAAACATACATTATGCATATGGAGAAAATATTAAAGTATATAATAAGGAAGTATGCTCAATACTAGTCTTTAAAAATTGAAAACACAGAGTAATTTTGAGACTCATGACAGCCTTAGGGTTCATATTACTTGACTGTGATAAATTTAGAAGATTATACATAGTGTGGCTTGTTCTTGCACGGAGACAAAATTTCTTCTCTTTAACCCTTTGAAAGAGGTTTTGCATTTTGCTGGTTTTGAGTGCATTTACCAACTTGATCATTCTTTAGACTTTTTATTGCCTACATTGTGTGTGTACTTCTCTATCCTTCTAGAAGGCAAATGGTGGTTGTAAATCATGTCAACCCTTCTGCAGTATTTAGAATGACAAGCATTGGGAAAACATGAACTTTTCAAAGAAAGGTAACTTTTACTAAGCCTAGCCCCTTACTTTCTGTAATAAGGTTATTTCAGATACTGCATTTCATTAGTGACTCCATTATCTAGGAAAAATAAAACCCTGCCATCTTAAGCGTTTTGACATTTTTATTTTTTCTATTCTATTTCTGTTTCATGACACATAATCCAGGCATTTGACAATTTAGATCAGTACATGGGTTTCAGCCTAAAAATTGGTCTGCAAGGGGATAGTTTCAATAAATTTGAGAAAGTTAGGTATGTTGTATACCATTTTTCTTTCTTAAACTTTAAATTTTTGAATTTTTTTGTGTTTATATGACTGAAGTGTGGTTACTTACAATTTATATTGATCCAAAATATATTGCATTTTATAATTCGGTCCCCCTAACCAATTCTCTTATATACATTCTCCATCCTTCTCAGAGAGCCAGGCAAGCTATCGAGAGTATCCCACCCACCCAGCAGAGCCTGGCAATCTACCCATGGCGTATTCAATATGCCAAAAACAGTAACAATAATGGGTCTCATTCCCCTGACCCTGAAAGAGCCTCCAATATGGCACTGTTGTGAAGGACGAGTAAGGAGAGGCTGCTAAAATCTCAGGGCTGGGACAAATGGAGACGTTACTGGTGCCCTCTTGAGCAGATCGATGAACAGTGAGATGACAGTGATACAGTGAACAGATCCATGAGTAAGCCCTAAGCATTGCCGGGCGTAGCCCAAAAAACAAACAAAAAAGCAAAATAACAAAATCTCAGTGTCTCCAAATGGGTGTGAGCTCTTTGGTATGACAGGAAGCTAGTTACTGATAAATTTTGCAACCAGATATAGGTAAAGTCATATGGTAACTTTGCTTTTAATTCAAATTACATGAATACTGATCTAGAAGGGATCGGATCTAGATCGACTGTCAATTGAATGTGAAATCACATGCCACTTCACGTCCAAATGCAAACATTCTTATTAGTTTGTTACTTGCTTCTTTCTTAGGGGGTCAGAGCCTTAGTTTTCTTATTTCCACACATCAGTGGGTAAAACCACAGAGAAAATGAACCTGGGCAGGTAGTTTAAACTTTTGGGTGGGGTGGGGGTGCTTAAGTTGAAGTGTTCAAGGTCTTGGGTGGTAGATATCCTGAAATTAGAGGTGGGCAAAGCATGCATAATCTGTCCTTGGAGAAACTGCCGTCACACTTGAAGGTCGTGTGATAGCATCACATGAAGAAAATCTGTGATCAGAAATGACAAGGAGATATTTAGATACAGGCCAAGCAAACTGAATCTTCAGAACAGAGCTGTGCCTAACTCAGTGCTTAGCATGATGTGTGTTACTTCGCAGTCTCACAACTCTTCCGTGCTGATATTGTTATCATTACTTTTCTAGTTCAACCAAATGATTCTCTGGTCATAGGCTGAATACAACACATGTACACATGCATAAGTCAAATGAGAATGTGTTATTTTGACAAAAAGCAGTCTAGTTTTATGCTACAAACTTTAGAAAGCCCATGTTTGTCCTGTGGTGTTCAGACGAGGAGTCATTTTCTTTATTTTTATATCCAAGTTTTCCCTGTTTGTATTGGCACCTAACCAAACTTATAGATGATTCCAGTTGTGTGTGTCAGCGTGGTTGCTGAAAACATTACAAATGCAGTCATTACAAAGGACTATTTTCCCGTTATTTTCTTTAGAAAGAATTTCCTATGCTGGAAATGTTCTGAAAGCCTTAGAAGCACTGGTGTGTGTGTGTGTGTGTGTGTGTGTGTGTGTGTGTGTGTGTATTCTAAATTATTTTTTAAAGCTTTTATTAGGGTCTGAATATGCAGTACAGTAGAGGGCTTGCTTTGCATACAGCCAGCTCAATTTCAATCCCTTCAACCCCTGAGCCCTACCAGGCGTGATCCCTGAGCACAGGAGTAAGATGTGAACATTGTCAGATGTGTACCCAAAACAAACCAAAAAGCTTTTATTATATTTTATTAACATAAAAGTCATAAATGTTGATGATAGAAAAAACAAGCAAATAAGTTTAGGTAAACCACCCAAATTTACCTCAGAAACTACTGTTAGGAGTTCCTGCAAATTTTCTGTCTGTGTCCATTTCTAATGCATTTCTAAATGGCATCATCATGTAGTATCCTATTTATATTGTAATTGCTTTTTTAAAAATTACAAGTGTATTACAAATATCTCTCTATGCCTTTGCTCTTATGATACTCTCTGTATTAGATATACCATATTTATTTAGCCAATTGCTAATGTTTGGGCATTTAAGGATTTTTGAAAGATTTTTCTCTATTTTTTTTACAAGTATGAATAATTCATCAGCTGAGTAACTGAGTTGCAGTTATTGAGGGTATTTTTTTTTCACTGACAAAATAGCTCAATTATTTAAAATGTGGAGAAAATGTTTGGTTCTGCAGTCTGGTGGCTGGTAAGATGAAATAGTTGCAGGCAAGGCGCTGGTATGTATCCATCGCCACCTTCCTGAGGAATCCCAGAGACTGCAGGCACATGGAGGAACTTTCAAGAAACACTCTGGTACTCTCTGAGAACAGATAAGTTACCCCAGCCCACCACCCAGGGACCATGACTTGGAAGAATTATGTGGAAATCAATTTTAAATGAACTTATCTAGGCCCCATTCTATCACTTGTGTGTTCCTGTGACAAACTCAAAGCGATTCAAAATGAATATCCCATTCACCAGTGGTTTTTATCCACACGGCAGAGCCTGGCAAGCCACCCGTGATGTATTCGATATGCCAAACACAGTAACAACAAAATCTCCAATGGAGACATTACTGGGCCCGCTCGAGCAAATCGACGATCAACGGGAGGGCCTTTACTTTACTTTATTTTACCCCCCTTTTATTCTTCAAGTGACATCTTGGAGCTTCCATGCAAAGCTGGCAGTTGGGTCGCTGTGTGATGAAAGTGAGTTTATGACTTAACCAATCCATCCTTTCTCCCAGGCATGCCATCTCCCACCACACTGAAGAAGTCAGAGAAGTCGGGTTTCAGCAGCCCCTCCCCTTCGCAGACCTCCTCCCTGGGAACGGCCTTCACCCAGCACCACCGACCTGTCATCACAGGACCCCGAGGTGAGCTGCCCTGGGGAGATACCGAGTGGGGTGGGGGAGGGGTGCTTAGTTCAGAGCTGGGAACCGGAGTAGCAAAGTAAAGAAAGGGCAGCCAGGACTCCCCCAGGTGCTCCTGAAGGACTGAATCTTCTCTTATCTTGGGGACCACTTTGGACCTGAGAGATCTGGTATCAAACCCTAATCCTCACTCTAAGGGGGAAATGAGCCCAGACCTGGAATGATGAAGAAATAGGAGTAGAAGGCAGGGGAAGGATTTGTGTTTGAGCAGACATCAAAACTGTCTTACAAGCATGCACGAGAAAGATGTGGATGTGTGTCTCTCTGTGTGTGTTAGGCAAGTTTATATTCATAGAGTCTCTCACCTGTTTTCAAGGAGGAGCTTCTCTTCCATCTCTCATCCCTTCCAAATCCCTCTTCTTGGACCCTGACTGCAATACATGGCCTTCTGAATTGATTGTTTGCTCGCAGTGTTGACGAGCTGTCTCTAGTCCCTCCTTTTGAAGTGGTAGATAGTTTGTCTGGTTTTCATTGCAATGCTTTCATTATTTTTGTCTCTTGTGCTTTTAAGTTTATTATTAAAATGTGTCCTCAAGAAATATGATTTGTATTTCACATTAAAGACAAGCCTTAAACCCCTCACCCTGAGAAAATGTCATCAAATCACTTAACTCGATCTTACGGAGAGATGAAAATATTTATTAGTTTGTTTATGAAACTCCCATGGTAGGAGGACATAGACCCATAACCGTGTTTGCTTTCTTCCATCAGATTTCCACTTAGGTAGGCCCTGTGATCTACCAGCTGGTATCATAAAACATCCTAGAAAGATATTGTCTCTTGACTGCTTTGACATATGCCTGGGGAAGCGGCAATGTCTTGTGTTAATCTCAACGTTAGTCCCACAAATTGGAATCCCTTTAGGAAAATTCTGCGTGGATAACAGGGAAATATGATGGTCGAGAGGGCTGTCCAGTGTACACAGGCAACAATCCCACTGAAAGAAGTTAAGCTTCTGACTATGGTGTGAAACTCTTTCTGTATTCTTGATTATGAAAGCTTCCACTTCATCATTTGCAGCACCTTCTCAAGATCCCACTATCATTTCAGTTTTGTGTGTGTGGATGTGTGGTATAATTAGAGAGAACATACATGTGTATGTATATGTCTTATATATCATTTTCATTTGTGTATATTATATATTTTTTTCTAACTTGAAAGTGTTGCATCTGAAGTAGGTTGTACAATGCCAGAATGAGGCTCTTATAAGTGGGGTAGTATGATGATATCTCTTTATAGCCAGCATTCATTAAACATGTGGTGGAAAATAAGAGAGATGAAGCTTTTTTAGTTAGGTTTCTTAATCTCAGGGAGATAAGGCATGAAATAGTTCTCATCTTTATTACGGGCAGGTTAATTCCCTGTCAATGTGAAGTGAATCTTAAAAGCAGAAATCTGTAGGTGTTCAGAGGGAGATAATGAGATAGGTCTTCCTATTCATTGAGAAGAGTTGACAGTATGACTGTCTCTGTGCAGACCCATGGGTTCCTGTCCTCATAGAACGTATAGTATCGTGTAGGAGAGATACAAGAGAAGCCTTTCAAAGATAATATGAAACCTGCCATCACTTTGTGTCACTTTCTTTCAAATAAATAACCCCCACAGTGTAGATAATGTCCAAGTGAAGCTATGAAAGATGCTTATATGAGTAGAGGCATTCCAGCCAGTGGACAGATTGTGTGTAGCCAGGCAATAAGGATTGAGAAGAAAATATGCTAAGGGTCAGGACAACTGGCTAAACTGCTTCTTTGCCTCTTCACTGGCTCTCTGGAATTTTTTTTAAAGATTTTACCAGTTAAGTGGAGACAGTTCTATTGTTGCATGAACTTTTTCTCCCAACCTCATACTCCGTTATAATAACTGAAACCAGTCTTTGTAGAGAAACTTAAAAGAACACAGAACAATTTGTCTGTATCAGGATTCATTCAGTACCTGTTCAGAGTACTTTATACTTATGTTGCCTTAAAACTGTAGTTCTAGAAATGATCAGAACTGGTTTTGGCATTTACCCATGGGTGCTGTAATTGGGAACTTCTCTAATGGGAGACTGCTAAGTTCACTTACCACAGGGCCCATCCTTGGGTTGAATCAGAGTAGGACTCCTTAGCCTACATGAGATTTGATCTATTCATATTCATGCATATGTTTGTGAGGAAGAGAGAGATGCCCGGTTTAAGAACTATGGAATACCAAAGATTCTTTGTTTTCACCAGAGTTCAAGATGGTTCCCAGCATCCTCGGTTCTCCTTTCTGGAAAATCTACTCAGGTACCCACTCTAACCGCGCAAACTGCCCCCCTTAGTGGTCTGGTGAAGGGAATTGGATAGTTGAGATGAAACTCTTCAGTGGCATCTTTGTGGTAAGAATCATAGAGCTGTGAGAGGCTAACATAAGTCATTATTTGGCTAAGATTTATTTTTAAGGTTGGTATTCAACCTCTTGTTATCTAAGAAATATCTGTGGCAGGTGCTCTATTTTAGTTTTCTCTGTCCCGATTGGGTATTGCATCACATCTAATACTATGGGTTGACATCTCAGGGAGATGAGGCTGGGTTTAAGGAGGGAAAGTCTTGAGGACGCCAGAGTGGTGACAGGCACCCCACCAGTGGAGAGAGTTCAGACTCTCAGATTCCATTAGCTATGAATGGTTCCTGCTAGCATCAAAGTTATAAGTCAGTTGGGAACCCAGAATGATCATCAGACTTCCAAAGGATCTGAAATAATAGAGGGATGTGTTCTTTGTCAGGTTCCCAGGGGCTCAGGGATTTGGATCATAAGGGTCTGTTTATTGTTCAGGGTTACATGGCATAGCCCTTCCTGGATACCACCTGGTGATAAGGTCTTACCTCGGGGTCCTGAAGCTTTCTTCAAATTTGCTGCTGGCAATACTTGGGCTGGACAAGCACCCATTTGTGCACAGCAGCTGCGAAACATAGCCCCATCCCCAGCCCAGGGGTGAAACTTGAAACAAGCCACAGCCAAGGAGGGTCACATCACTGCCAAAAGACTAGTCCTGATTGAACTCAAAAACAGAAGCTGTATTTAAATATTAGTGGGCCAGAGTGATAGTACAGCAGGTAGGGTGCTTGCCTTGCACTCAGCCAACTGGGTTCTATCCCTGGCACTGCATCTGATACCCCAAGCCCCACCAGGGGTGATTCCTGAGCACAGAGCTAGATGTAAGCCCTGAATATCACTAGGCATGGCTCCAAAAGAAAAGAAGAAATTAATGACTACCTTTCACAAAGAAAAGCTCCCTTTGAACACTGCCAAGCAAAGGCAGGGCAGGGTAAAATGAAAGAGGCTGTCAGAGGGAGGAGGCAACTTCCTGGAGCCATCAGCACAGACATGGTGCCTTCTTCACCCACTGGGCCAACTGAGCACTTGGCTTGACATCCTGGAGCCATGGACTCTGATCTGTGAATTGGAGGTCCTAAGTTCTACGTGGCTTCACATTGGAAATAAATGATACCCCGTCTTTATAAACACATACCAGGAGAGAAAGTAAGTACCATGACCACATAAGCAGCCAATCACCATTCTCATTTGGACCTTGGAAATCCCTATGGCCTTCACCTGGTTGCATATTACCTATCCCGAGAACCTCAGACAGCCCAGGCCTTCCACCCGGCGTCTCCTTGGACCCTTCCAGGCAGACCTCTCCTTGCTCACATTCCTTATACCCCTGGAACCTTTCACACCTGACATGTCCTCCACCCAGGGCTCTGCATTGTTGATACTGACATTGCATCACCCTCCTGAGGGAAAGCCCTGGCAGGAGGGCTCTCAGATGCTCTTTCGTACCTGCCTTGGTACCATGAAGAATAAATTTTCTGCTGCAGTAGTGGTGGAATGAATGAAGAAGCTCTCAGATTACTCCTAGAGTACTCAAAAGACATTCAGCCCCTCAAAAGCCATGGGCTCACATTTCTCAGAAGCACCAAGGATGAGCCATGAATAATGGTTCTTGCAGGAATTCTTTACAAGGAATGGCCATAGGGAGAACCATTCTCAGCCTTTCAGTCAAAGAAAACTTGTGCCACGTATGTAGATAAAATTAGGTAGAGATGAAAGGATTTTGGAATATCCTCGGAAGCAGAACATATAAAGTATCTATAAAGGTATTTGTGCCTTTAGAGATATATTAGGACATATTAAGACAATTACTGTGTACTTTTAGCTAAAAATTGAGCTTTGAAAGTTTTTTTAACCAGTACTTAAATTTTCAACTGTAATAAAGTGTTTAATGACCAAAATTTATCTTATTTGTGATAATTGAAAAAAAATCCATATTCTTCCTGCGCCTTTTCAAGTTCTAAGTTTGAAGGCTTAAAGGCCCTCCTTCCTTTTGAGAGTTATCTGGGACAATCATCAGTGATAGTTTAGAGTTTCTTTCTTCTTGAAACTTATGGGATTTGGTCTAAAGCTTTTGCTGTTTTCGAAACAACCATCTAATGATTGATGATTAAGATGCTCTGCAAAGGAAGTCAAGTCTGTGCTTCAGAAATGTGGAAAAGGAGGAATTGGGGGTGACAATTGATAAGAGACGCTGCCCTGTCTGCATCTGGAGGCAGAGGAAGAAAGCCATTGGCAACTAAGCATTTACCTGAATTTTGTCTAAAAAACCATTCCAGGGTCTGGAGTGATAGCACAGCGGGTAGGGCATTTGCCTTGCACGCGGCCCGACCCGGGTTCAATTCCCAGCATCCCGTATGGTCCCCTGAGCATGGCCAGGAGTAATTCCTGAGTGCATGAACCAGGAGTAACCCCTGTGCATCTCTGGGTGTGACCCAAAAAGCAAAAAAAGATAAGTAAATAAATAAAAAATCATTCTAGTTCACAGTGGTGCTCTGGGAATTTTTTTTTTTTTTTTGGCCACATCCAGTGGTAGCCAGGGCTTACACCTGACTCTGTGCTTAGGGACCACTCCTGGTCAGCTCAGG